TTGTTTCCTGGTGTGTGTCAGTCATCAGTGTGTGTTTGGCTTGTGCTTACTGCCATCTTCAGGTGCAACAGTGCTGCTGTTTCATCACTAGGTGCCACTAGGTGCTGATACTGAGCAGCTTTATGTGTGATCTCTACATACTTCTTGATGCATTGAAGAAAAAAGACAGAAAACACAACAAGCATTTAAATGGTACTATTTAGTTAATCTGATTCTTAAGTTAAATGGATGAAGAATAATCCTTTTCGAGTTTTTTTTTTGCTTCCATATAATGTCTTCTTTCAGACTAGTGGAAATAAAACATCCAAAATGCACATTTAAGAGTTTATTTTATTGCGCTTTGTCTATTTGCATCTGTATATTTCAATTGATTAAATAGTTTTTTTCTCTTACGTTCAGTTTTATTCCTATCTATATACTGAAGGGAGGCTTTTCCTGAGGGGCTTGTTCATATATCATTCACACGGATTTATACAACATGTTATTTCTATAAACATGGTGAAAATGTCTTTGTTTTCTGTCTGTTGACAGTATTTTCTGATGTATGGAGTGATAAAAAAAGAAATCCAAAACCCCCTCTGGAGAAAACCAATAATGTGTCAACAAATTTCAGATTTCTGTTCTGGAAATGTATGCAAATGAGTGCATACTTCATTTAGACAATGCCTCATTTGCATATTTAAACATACAGTTCCAGAAAACTTTTAATAGAAAGCAATTGTACTGGGATTAATCAACTGGGGAAGCGTGATATCTATTGTTTAATACACTTGTAGTGTTTCGCCTCGATCATGTAGCAGTTCAAAGCTGTCTCTCTTTATTTCATCTGCTCGGCTATGGCTCCGTCCTTCACGCCGGCGGCCACCACAGCGAAGAAGAAGCTGGGCAGCAGCGAGCGGATGTAGAGGGCGACCCACGGCACGGGATGGGCGAGGAGAACCTCTCGATTCTGCCGGTTCACCGTCCTCACGATCTCGTGGGCCAGACTGCTGGGACTCACGCCGTGAGTGTTCAGCTTACTAGAGATGTCTGGAACAAAACTGGAGTCAGTGGATCTGCTCCAAAACCTGAAGAGCAGCCCTTGCTATTTATTGCCTACATAGGCAGCTGCCTTCTAAGGAACCTTATTAGAGACCGATTTGGAACGATCTATATATACAACTAGTCTGTGCTTCATACAGATAGAACAGAGTCTGACTTTAGCAGCTGCTAATCTAACAATATGATACTCTAATAAGCATAGAAAGACAGTAATACCGGGTTAATTACTACCAGCTCATTTGTAATTAGATTGAACTGTGTTTTAATCAATCCTATGAGAAATGAATCAAATATATTTATAATCAAATCCTCAAAGGCCATTTTGATAGATTAGTTTAGTTGAATGTTTTCCAGGCTGTTGATTGGTCAAAACGTGCCAAGAAAAATAATAATAAATAAATAAAAATAAACTGAACACCTGAAAATCATGAAAATGAATGAATTAATAAATAAATAACTAAATCAAATAAAAACATTTAATAGATTTTATGTATTTTTTCTGTATGTAAATATTGTATTTATATACATACAATATATATACAGTATATATATATTGTAAGTCATCTGAACAATTTTTTGTGCCACTTTGTACCATTTTAACTGCTCGATTGAGTGATATTTTCTTAATTTTAATATATAATTTACATATATATATTTTTTTTT